TGCGGCGGTGACGGCGCCCCGCGCCCGCCCTGCGCCCCCAACACCCCAGCGTCGCAGCCCTTGGCCGGCGACGCCAGCTTCTACAGCCTCGCGCCTCTCGAGTCCCCGAAGCCCCCCGAAGTTCCCGAGTCCCCAGCTGGCCCTAGCCCCCAAGCCGCGTGCTGGCCTGGCGCCTGGCACTAGTGCACCGTCCTGGGCTGCACCACCTGCCAGGGCGCGGCCGCCCTAGCTGGCCCCCGATCTGCCGTTTTCCTTTTGACCAGAATGGGGGAGATGAACGAAACCCCCACCCCCCAAAATAGAGAAAAATACAGAATAGGCAATTATTTGTTTTTAATTTATTTTGTCATATTTTTGTAAAACGGCAGAAATGCAATAAAAAGTATATTTCAACAGTGCCTGAAGTCAGAGCGATGAAGGGGCCTCGGGGGACCCGGGTTAAACCTCCTGGTTCTCCCAAGAATGAGGACCAAAGAGCACAGATGGAAAACTCCGGGCATTGTGGCCAGTCTCCAGTTAGCCAAAGTTAGAAACCCTGAGGTGTGAAAAGGGTTATACCTCAGGTCAGGTGGTGGATGGTGTGATGGCCTTCTGTTAGGGGTGGCTGGATTAGAGAGGCAGGCCTTCCTTGCCCCAGATCTTGGAGAACAGGGCAGAGGAGCTGTGGGGTAGGAACACTAGGCAGTGGACTAGCAGCCTTTGTCCACATGTGACATGGGCTTGGGGGTGCCCAGGACAGGAGGGTTGGCATCAGTAGTCAGGCTGCCCACCCTTAAAACACCAGGCCTGTTGGAAACGTGGTGAGGCAGAGGCGTGGGAGGGCTGGAATGCTGGATACCAAGGCCTAGGAGCAGGCTCCCAAGGGCATTGGGAGTCCTAAGGGTGTGCACACTGGAAGAGGACCCCAGCAGGTAGGAGGGGGACCCCACTGAGCAGGGCCAGGCCTCCCACAGGTTTCAGCAGCAGTGGCCATACAGCTGGCCCTCCCACTACACCCACCACTTATAACTAGGAGTTGTTTGCACAACTTTGAACCGTTCCAGTGCTCAGCCACCTGTATCCTTGGCCGAAACAGCCAGGTCTAGCCTATCTCCTGAGCACTGCACCTCACCTCAGGGACCCCACACTGTATGCTGTGGCACACAAGCTACGGCAGAAGGCTGTGCAGTGTACCCACACTGCCAATGTAAGCAGGCCCCTGGTGATACTATGGCCACCACAGCTCCCTGGTGTCTCTAGCACTGAGCTTTCAAGCCCAAGGCAGGTGGGCAGCCAGTGCCCCAGCTCCAGACCACATACGGTGCAGAAACCCATTCCTTTATGCTAGTGGCCACAGGCAGTCAAGTTGGTTAAGGTGCCAAGTGCCCAGAACCACAGTCACAGGTGCTGCAGCTGGGGGGGATTCCCATCTGAGCCATGTGAACCAAGGCCAGGACATTTCGGTTGCCACCCTGTGGTTGTCCTAGCTCTGACATTCTCACCAGGGACCTGACTCTGAGGATCCCCCAGGAAGGTCCTTGCAGGTCTTTGCCGGACCAGGACCCCCTTGCTGATCTCTTGGTTACAGTGGCTCCTCTTTTACCTTCAGAGCTCTGTCCTCCTGGCTGGGACACGGGGAGCAAAGAGGCCGGGTCGAGTAGGAAAGATCCTTTTATTGGGGTGGACGCGGAGCACGGGCTAGTCCATGATAAAATGACTTAAGAGAAAGATCCAAAAGGGCCTTGTCTCCCATGCCCTGGTATGGGCTCAGTGAGGCCTGGGCATGGGAGGAACCCCGAGCGGGGAGGGGGTGTGGGGGGGGGCACTCCAGACCAGGCAGAGCCTATGGATGGGAAGGATCAAGAAGGCTGCTTGGTGTTGTGGGAGGCCAGGCCACCTCGGCCCTGGACCCTGGGCTTGGCCTTACTGATGGGTGGCCGGGTGGGGGACACCACTGTGAAAAAGGGTCTACTGACACCTCACAGCTGGGTCTGATGTCCCTTTAACCAATGCTTGACACAAGTTACAGCATAAATAAAAACTCAAGGAAAATAAATACTTGGGTCCTATGAGGTTGGAGGGGTATGGGCTGGGTGTGGGCGGGCTGCGCTTACACACGCGGGCAGGAGTGGACAGAGCAGACAGACGGGGTGAGCAGGCACATGGGGCCTAGGTGTCTTCTGGCATGTCCGGGCTGTCGGTCCGCGCCACTTTTCGGGGTGGCGCCGAGCTCTCCCCCTCTGCCTCCACCTGTTCTTGATCTCTCTTCTTGGCAGCATTCTGGAGGCAAGTAAGTCTATCTGTGTAAGCATCCAGGCCCTGCTTCCCGCCACCTGCACCTGCCCTCTAAGTCCCATACAGTTCCCTGGAACCTGCTGCAGGTGAAGGCAGCGAGGAGGCAAGCCTCTTCTGAGGTCAGAGGAGACACCAGGGCCCCAGGGATACCCTGAAGGGAACTAGGGCTTTTTCTTTTCTTATGGAGACAGGGTCTCCTTGTAGCCCCAGCTGGCTTGGCACTCACTGTGTAGACCAGGCTGGCCTCAAACTCAGATCCATCTGCCTGTGCCTCCTGAGTGCTGGGATTAAAGGCGTGTGCCACCATGCCTGGTGAAACTAGGGCTTTTAAACAGTGTCTGAACTGGTATGGAGGCTTGTCTGTAATCTAAGCACTTGGGAGGCAGGAGGATCAAGCTGCGTTTGAGGCCAGCCTGGGCTATATACCTGTCTCAAAAAACTTAAAAGGAATTTATAGTCTCATGTACTTCAGGCTATTGGACTTTTTAGTCATGTGCAAATTGCACATTATAATAAGACGCTAGGGGTGCAAGCATGGCTCAGCCATGGGGTGTGGGCCACCAGTGTGGGGTATCCTGGGATCTGTCCATAGCCTCCCAAATAGAACCCCAGGAACACAGTACCCACTGCAGCTTGCTCCCCTCCTGGTCCCTAACCCCTAATCCCTTGCTGGGCAGCAGCCCCCTACCCATGTTCTGCAGCCCCTCATCGCCCCCCAGCCTCACCTTTCTGTCCCATTGCTGGTGTAGGTAGCGCAGGAGGATGTTTGTCTTTTCTGTCACGATGACTGAGGAGCAGAGAGACAGAGTGAGAAGAGAGGCGGCTCAGCCTCCACCTTGCTTGCTGGACAGGCCACAATTCTCGCTTGCCTCCTGGCCTGCCTCGAGCATGGCTGGTTTTTCTGGGGCAAACTCAGCACCCCTAATTTGGAGAAGTGTCAGAAGACTGGTGTTTCCCCTCTGAACACGGAGCCCTAATCTGGGGTCTCCACCACCTGCTTGCAAGGGTCCACCCTGGGTTTCCCAAAGCACAGAGTCCCATAGGAGGGACCAGGATGAGGGAAGAGTTTGGTTTTGTTGGTTTTGACGGTTAGGACAGAACCTGGGCTCTCCAGGATGTACAAGCCAATGGTCTGCTGCTGAGCCATGCCTCGGCCCCTCCCCAGGACCCGGCAAGCTGGTCTTTATAGCAGTACTGTGCGTGAGCACTGTGCTGTGACACTGAAGAAAAAACAGTGAACTTGAGTGCTACCATGTGGGTAGTGGGACCTGACCCTGGGTCCTCTGCAAAATTAGACAGTGCTCTTAACCACTGAGCCATCTCTGCAGCCCCATGTTTTGTTTTGTTTACATTTACTTATCTTGTGTGTGTAGGAGCACACATGTGGTAGTCAGAGGACAACTTCCAGGAACTGGTCACCCTCCTACCATGTGAGTTCTGGGGACTGAGCACAGGTTGTCAGCGTGGTGGCAGGTATGTTTATCTGCTCAGCTATCTCACTGGCTCTGGGTTCTTTTCTGACAGCTAAACCACTGTGTTCTGTAACACAGCTCTCAGGCTGGATCCTACTGCCTAGTCCAGTCCCAGCTGGGTCACCACGTTTAGGTGCCTCCATATCACAGTCCTTGGCTTGCAGTCTCCCATGTGTGCTGCAACCTGTGTGGAAGTCTCAAATGAACCTTGGGCACTGGCCCTGGCCTTCTAGCTTTTGGGGCCAGGCCCTCTTGTTCACTGCATCCGCTGCTGGCTGGCTGGTGACTTCCAGTGTGCTGGGATTACAGATGTGTGCTACTGTACTTGGCTTTTATATGGGTTCTCAGGTCACTGCTTGTGTATCAGTGAGCCACCTCCCCACCCCTAGTTTGTGGGGTTTGTGGTCTTTTTTTTAAGCTTTTTCAGACATGGGCTCATGTAGCTTTAACCCCTACTCCTCCTGCCTCAGCTTCCCAAGGCTGGAATGACATGCCTGTGCCGTTACACCTGGTTTATGCAGTGCTAAAGCTGAAGCCAGGGGCTTCATGCACGTCTCATGGTGTTAATGCAGAGCCAGAGGAAACGTGGCTTGGCGTGAAGGGAGGACAGGACGGCTCTGGCCAATTCAGGCCCCTTCAGGACCAGATACTAGTGACACATGGAAAACTGGGTGGTCCCAGAGGAAGCCAAGGCCTGGTGCTCCCAGGCAGAGTAGACAGGCATCCTCAGTGTCCCCTTGTCCCTTCCTCCCTGCCCCAGAGGCCAAGGTTCTAGGCACTCACTCTGTTCTGACGGGTACTCCCGGGTAGGCAGGTACACTGAGGGCCGTCGGTTCTGCAGAACGGGGAGTGGTGGGTTAGCTGGAGCCTCTCATGGGAGAGTCTCGCCGCCCCGTCCCCCATCACTCACCGAGGCCTTGCACACGGAGTCCGCATGGAACCGGCTGAAGTTGCTCTTGTTGTAGACTGGCAGGCCTTTCAGGAAGTCTGCCTGGAGGACAGGAGAATGAATGTGAGAACCGGCCTCAGACAACCCCTCTGCTACTTTCCAGAATACACCCAGGGCTGGCCAGCACTTGGAGGCAGGTAGAGCTCAGTGAGTTCAAAGACAGCCTGATCTACATAGGGAGTTTCAGGCCAGCCAGGGCTACATAGGGAGACCCTGTCTCCAAAAGAAACAGCCAGCCTGGAAGAGTAGCCCCTCTCAAACACAGGAGAGCTGGCTGTGCTGCTGGGGCACAAGGCTCCATCTGAGTGGCTCAGGGAAGTGGCCCTTTGGTCCACTTGCTCTCCATCATCACTCAAGTCTGGGGAGGGGCAGGAGACAGCATTTGCAAGTCTGTGGCTCCTAAGTATTCTTCCTGCTGTCATGAGCCAGCCAGGGTGGGAATGTGCCCATTATAAGGATGAGGAGACCAAAGCAGAGGCTGCCTGTGACTCACTAGGGTCCCCTCACCCGATGCCCAACCTCAGAGGCTACAGTTCTGCTACCCCAAGGTACTCCTGAGGCCTGGGCCAGGTAGCCCAGTGGCATCCCACCTTCCCAGGTCCAAGTAACATCCTGGTGGAGCAAGTTGTGTGTAGCAGCAGGCAGCCTCCTCTCAGCCTCAGGACCTACTACTCTGAGGACAGCTCTGAGTCCAAACTGACTCCTGCCCACCCCAGATGGGCTTCAGGGCAGGATAGAGGTATCATAGTGTGGCCAGGAGCCCAGAAGGCACTACATGTGGTCCTAGATAGTGTCAGGGAGAGGTCAAGTTAGTTTGGGACCCAGAGAGCTTCCTAGGAGCAGCCATGGAGAACCTGTTGCTGTTCATGCCGCCCAACATGTCATCTCATCACTCAGAAGGCGGAGGTAAGAGGATCAGGAGTTGGAGGCCAGCCTCAGCTACAACAAACAAGCAATCAAGACCCCCCCCCCGTCCAGCCCCAGCCAGCCTGGTCCATGTGGTTTCCTGTCACACTGTCTGTCACCCCTTTTCTCTATCAGGGACACACCAGCCAACTAAAAAAACAATCAAAGCCCCCCCCCCGTCCAGCCCCAGCCAGCCTGGTCCATGTGGTTTCCTGTCACACTGTCTGTCACCCCTTTTCTCTATCAGGGACACACCAGCCAACTTCCCTACCATCTCAAAACCTCTCTGTCCCCACCCACAAGGTGTATACCCCACCCACAAGGCCATCATGTTCACTTCCTACCTGAGGCCACAGGGCAGGACCGGGTCACCTGAACCCTGGGCCCCTGGCGGAGCTTGGAGAGGATCCCATACTCCTGCACCCGACCCTGGCTCAGCCCCTTGCTGGCCAGGGGACCTGGTGTGTCACCTTCTAGGTAGGCTGCCTCACCATGCTTTGGGCCACCCCAGGACACATTCAAGCAGGGCTCAGAGTCCTCAAGACAGCTCAGGCACAGAGCTCCCCTGAGCATCTACCTATCCCACTTCTCAGAAAGATAGGATCCCTGCCTGTCAGCTAAGCTGGCAAACAGGTCTCGAGACCCAGGAGACTGCCTCCCTCATGGGCCTATGGGGTTGAAGGAAGCCACACCTCTGAGTACAGAAAGGACACACTGATGGAAAAAAGGTCCTGGGGCAGCAGGAACTTGAGAAGAGAGGAAGTTCAATCAAGTCCAGTGTAGCTGGAGATCCCTGAGGGCAGGGCTAAGTGGGTGGGATGAGGTCACAGAGGTGGACAAGCTCTTTGAGTGTAAGGCAGGAGCTGGCTCACACAGGGAGCCCCAGGGATGTTTTATAAATCAGAAAGTGGCACAAAGTGACTGTCTTTGGAAACCCCTGGTTCTAGGTGAATTAAAGACATCCTTAAAGACCAAGGAGGAGGGTGGGATCAGGGAGGTGGCAGATTCAGGACCAGGGCAGGAGGCAAGGGTAGAGTCTGGGTGTGAAAGAGGAGTCTGAAGAGATGAACCAGGGACAGCCTCATTTCCTCCTCCAGGAACTCTTTCCACTCTCTGGGGTGTGAGATGGGATTAGGGCCACAGGAAAGGGAAGGCCCGCAGCCCAATCGTGAGGTGTGGCTAGCACCCCATGTCCCAGATGGGGAGACCAAACCCCAAAGAACTACGGGGATCAAGACCACAAGAGGTGGTGTGAAACTCCCAATAGGGACCATCTCACTTCAAGATCAGGGGCTGGCGAGCGGAGGACGTCATCAGCCCCAAGTCACCCAGCTCATCTGTGGGCGGGTCCCTGTGCGACCACCCCTCAGCGCACCTTTCTATGAGGTGGACACTCATTTCCGAGGCGAAGCTCTTCCCTCTCCAGAGAAAAGTGAGGGGCTCAAGACGGTGAGAGATGGGGACCCTGACAAAGAGGGGTCCAGAGCGATGTCGCACTTCCTTCAATGACAAAGCCCCGCCTGTCCCGCCGTGCAGCCCAGATTGGCCCCTCAAACGCCCGGAACCCGAGACGAGGCGCAGAGGAGCAGCCCGGAGCAGGGGTCTGGAGGGACCCCACCCCACCCCAGGCGATTTCCGGGAGGAGAAGAAAACAGGCAGTCGCGACCCGGAAATGAATGAGTTGTCAGGGCCTCAAAGCCTACCTAGGGTCAGGGGTCGCGGAAAGCGCCCGGGTGGGGTCGGCGGGGACGACCGCAGGGTCGGGGAGGGGTCGGAGGTCGCAGGTCGGCGCGAGGGGCGGGCCGGGCTGAGGGGGGCCGGGTTCTCAGGGAGGCGGAGGTGGGGACCCCGTGCCGCCATGCCAGGCGGAAGGGGAGGCCGCGCTCACCATCGTCCGCGTCCGCCGCCGCCCCGGCCACCGCCGCCGCCGTCGTAGCTTCCTTCCCAGCCGCCGCCGCACAACCACTTCCAGCCGCCGCGCAGCTCACGCCGATGGCGACAGCGCCGCGCGTCATTGCTCCGCCCCTCCCGTGGCCTATGTGCTTTTATTGGCCAACTCCCTCTGGCTCCTTCTCCCATTGGCCGGTACGCATACATCATCAAGTTCGATTGAGAGAGCAAACCCCGCCCGGGGCTTGGGGAGAGAGAGGTGTGGAGCGAGACGTGAGTTCTGGAAGTGGGTGGAGGACGTGGGAGCACAGGCTCCTGGGAGTTGTAGTTCCCTTCTTCCTGCGGCTCCACAGGGCTCTGCTGTAATTGGTGTGGGCTCAGCTTCTTAGGTATCCCTGGAGGGGTCTCACAGTAGTGATAACCCCCTCACCCACCCAAGGCCTCAGCCTACATCTTATTTCCTTTTCTTTTAAAAAATATTTTATTATTTTTATTTCATGTGTATGAATGTATTGTCTGCATGTATGTGAGCGCACCCGTGTCGTGCAATGCTGAGGGCTTCGGATTCCCTTGGAACTGGAGTTAATGACTGTTCGTAGCCGCCATGTGGGTGCTGGGAATTGAACTCGGGTCCTCTGCAAGAGCAGTCAGTGCTCTTAACCTCTGAGCCATCTCGCCAGCCCCATTCCTTTTTTTTTTTTTAATTTATTTTTATTTTATGTATATGCGTGTATTGCCTGCATGTAGGTAAGTGCACCCGTGTTGTGCAATGCCTGCGGAGGTCAGAAGAGGCTGTCGGATCCTCTGGGACTGGAGTTACAGACAGCTGTTAGGTGCCACGTAGGTACTGAGATTCGAACCCGGGTCTTCTGCAAATACGACCAGTGTTCTTAACTGCTGAGCCATCTCTCCAGCCCCCTTATTTCTTTTTTTGGGGACCACAGTCTCCTTGTAGTACGGGTTAGCCTTGAACTAGCTGCAATCCTCCTCCCTCAGTCTTCCAAGTTTCTGGTATGGCAGAATGTTTTTTTTAATTTTTAAGTAGAGCTAACGTAGATTTATTAACTTCGTGAAGAGCCGGACATGATGGCGCATGCCTTTAATCCCAGCACTTGGGAGGCAGAGGCAGGCAGATCTCTGTGAGTTTGAGGCCAGCCTGGTCTACCTAGTGAGTTCCAGGACAGCTGGGGCTACGGGAGACCCTGTCTCAAAAAGACCAAAAAAAAAAAATTTTTTTTTTTTGAATGTTTGAGAATTGCATACAATATTTTGATTATTTAGACTCCCCTGTCTGCACCCACTTTAATGCCTCCCACCTGATTTCATGTGCTTTTGTCATGCATATTAAAGCTTATGGAGGTCATGCATATTAAGGCTTACCAAGTCAAATTGGTGTCCCCAAATGCTCTTAACTTTGTGTTCATCAGTGAGAGCCTGGTTAACCTATCTAGTGAATCACACCCTTCAGGAAAGCTGCCTCTCCTTCTCACAGCAGCTATCAGTTGCCAACAGTTAGTTCCTCAGCTAAGGTGGGGAATTTTTCCCCACTTCTATGCTGGGATTCTGTCTGGCTTGAACTTGCATGGGTCTTGTGCATGCTGTCACCATTGCTGTGAGTTCATATGAGTAACTGCCCAGCTTCTACCCATCTTCTGCAATGGCCCCGAGACTTGGGTGGCAGAAGTTTGATACCGGTGTAGAAATTGTGTGCTATGGTGCACCAGTAGAATTCATAGGACAACTTTTGGGAGTCAGTTCTCGTCTTTCACCTTGTGGGCCTCAGGGATTGAACTCAGGTCATCAGCTTTGGTGGCAAGCACCTTTACCAGCTGAGTCACCTTGCCGGCCTCCTAATTTTATGTTTTGAGACAGATCTCACTGTGTAGCCCCAGGCTGGAACTGGAATTCATTATGTAGTCCAGGATCCTCTTGCCTCAGCCTCCTGAGTGTTGGAATGACAGATGTGAGCCACACCTGGCTCAAACTTGAATTTTGACATATATGGTCTCTGAATTAGTTACTTGAATTATCTGCGAAATGACAGCTCATACTAATATTATTTTCATTTTCTTTTGAGACAGGGTCTCCCTGTAGCTGGCTTGCAACTATGTAGATGAGGCTGGCCTCAATCTCAGACATCTGCCTACCTCCTGGGTGCTGGGATTAAAGGCATATGCCAAGCTGGCACGGTGGCACACACCTGTAATCCCAGCACTTGGGAGGCAGAGGCAGGTGGATCTCTGTGAATTCAAGGCCAGCCTGGTCTACATAGTGAGTTCCAGGACAGCTGGGGCTACAGGGAGACCCTGTATCAAAAGACCAAAAAAAAAAAAAGGCATATGCCACCATGCCCGGCTACCTAGTTGATACTATTTAAAAAGGTTTTCTGTGTGTGTGGAGTGTGCTTGTATGTATGTGAGCACATGTGGGTTCACACTTGTGTGTGCATGTGTTGAGGCCAGAAGTTCACAGTCGGTATCTTCTCCTCAGTATTCCACCTTATTGATGTATCTGATTATTTTGAGATAGGGTCTCCTGTAGCCCAAGCTGGTCTTAAACTGGAAGTATAGTTGAGTATGACCTTGAACTCCTGACCTCCTCGGTCTACCTCCCAGGTGCTAGGATTCCAGTGTGCTCACAGTTTACACTGTGCTGAGGGTGGAACCCAGAGCCTCTGCGCACTAGGCACCTACTTTGCCAACTGAGCTTCCCCTTCCACTTCATTTTTAAGACACTGGTGCAGACCATTTGGCTAGACTGGCCAGCCAGCAAGCCCTGTGGATCTGCCTGCCTCTCTGCACATGCCAGGGTTATAGTTACAGACCCCTGCCGTTGTGCCAGCTTGGATCCAAACTTGGGTTCCCCAGCAAACATTTTACCCACTGAGCCATTCCCTCAGCCCAAGTGTGTGTGAGTGTGTATACATACACATACACACAGGTACATTTTTTTTAAAGTGACAGTGCCTTATGTAGCTCAGGCTGGCCTCAAACTTGTTGTGTAGCTGAGAATGACCTTGAACTGACCCTCCTGCCTCTCTCTCCCAAGTACTGGCATGAATGAGCTCAGTCATTGTAGCTCCCTAGTGTCCCAAGGATTGAGTCCTATCTTTGGGGTCCCTGGAGCCCAGCTTCCTTCAGCTATACATGCAGTGACTCCAGTCCATCCTGCAGACCCCACCTCTTCCTCCAGGAAGCCTTGTTGTCAAGGACAAGCCAACTAGGTTATCTATTTTCTGGGGCCTGTAGCCTCCAGAATTCTCCTTTCAGATCAGATCCCCTGTGTCCCAAGTGCCTGGCTCCAAATCCACCTTATCCAACACACCCTTCAAGACAACAGAAGGGGCTGGTGACATGGCTCAGCAGGTAAAGGGGCTAGCTGCCAAGCCTGACAACCTGAGTTTGATCCCTGGAACCCACATGGTGGAAGGAGAACTGACTCCTGCAAGCTGTCTTCTGACAGCCACACCAGCTGCCTGTCCCAAATCAACCAGTCAATCAATCAATCAATCAAGAAAGACAAGGAGCGACCACCCATTTCATAGCAAGAGCTGGATGGGGGGATGGAGAGATGGCTCAGTGGTTAAGAACACTGACTGTTCTTGCAGAAGACCCAGGTTCCAATCCTAGCACCCACATGGCAACTAACAACTATCCAGTAACTCCAGTTCCAGGGGATCTGACAGCCTCTTCTGTCCTCTCTGGGCATTGCACTACATGGGTACACTTACCTACATGCAGACATAACACTCATACACATTTTAAAAAAAAAAAAAAAAAAAGAGCATGTGCAGCCCGAGGTAGCTGAGTAAGAAAGTCAACTAAAAAAAAAAAAGAAAAAAAAAAAAGAGCAAGAGCTGGATCAATTGCTAACTGCACAGTACTATTATTATTACAACAACATCAACAAACAACAGATGAAAGGAAACCCCAGCACGTGTTTGTTTGGGACCAGCGGCCTTAGGCCCCGAGATCCTGACTCCACCAGCTTTCCAGACCTGTAAGGCAGGACACTTGTAGCTACGAGACATTTGAACATCTATCGGAAATCTGATACTCATAAGTCACTGATAACGCTAGGTGACCTCCATGTTTTAAAGGAGCCCTTGTCTTGGAGATGTGTTCGGAAATACACTGAATATTGGTAGTGACATCACAGGCCGGGGCGACAGCCGCTGGGCGTGGGTGGTCTGCGCTGCGTCCTGGCGGACTACTGTGAGTTCAGAATTCATCATCTAGAAACCTAAAAAGGGACTGGCCCCCACTTCCAGCTCCCCCCAGCTTCTCTTCCCTAGGCCATTCTGCTGGTGTCGGAGTACGGGCGAGATCCCTGTTACACGGCGGTCAACCACAGGCGGCGCTGCTCAGTGGCTCAAGGACTTGCGACCCTTTAACATGCGACGAAGGAGTACCTGCACGCCCGCCGGCGTGCTCAGGCGGCGGATCCAGCCATGCTTGTGCTTGCGTTTCATGTTACTGGGCTGGTACTCATTCCCGCGCGTCCTGCCGCGGGTCTGATGCGGGGCGGGGAGGCCCCAGGCATCCGGACGTCCCATCCAAACCCGGGGTTGGAGCCACCTGTGGGCGCAGAAAGATGCGGAGAAAGCTAAGAGCCGATGTGGCCTCCGCCCGCAGCTCAACACCTCTGAGCCCCAACTCCGCGATTTGCACTATCTAGCCTGTGTGCAAAAGGCGTTGTATAAGTGAGCGTGGTACCCCGTGAGTACTCACCTGCCACTTAGCAGGGTCACCGACCTGCCAGCAGAGCCCCCAAAACAACCCGCGAGGAAAGCCATGTACGGCCGCAGGTCGCGACGTCCCGGCAGACACCAGTTCCCTAGACCAAGGAGTCCGCAAAAAAAGCCTTATGGGGAAATGTAGTTCTTGTGTACTGCAGCGGAGCCCTTCGGGAGCTGTAGTACCACGCCTGCGCATCCGTAACCGGAGCGGCTGTGCCCTCAGGGAAATGTCGTTCTCCCAATGAACCAGCAGGTGGCAGGCGAGTGGCGCCGCCTCCGCTTGCGCGTGCGTAGAACACATTCTATCCCGGGTTTTGCTGGGAGTTGTAGTTCTCTCGTTGCCCGGTGGCAGAGGGCCAGGGTGGTGGCGACGCAGCTGCTGGCAGCTTCGGGGAGAAGCTGGCTGGCCGCCTCTCTCCCCCAGTCTCGGCGAGAGATGGGCGGATGGCTCACAGCTGGCTGGCAGCTTTTCTGTGACCGCAGCTAAGGCCTTTCCTTTTGGCGGGCGGCCCAGCAGCGCCAGTTCCATCTGGCTGGGTGTCCTCAAGGTCGCTCTTCTCAGTCTGGAAAAGTCCTGGATGGCGAGCCTACCCTAGGATGGTTGACGTCCTCAGTCTGGCCCTGGAGGAATGCTTTTCTGATGCGCATTCACCCTCCTGAGCTCCCCATTCGCCAAGCCTGCCTTACCAAGCCTTGTACACACGTGTCCCTAAATGTCAGTCTCCCCTTTCTCTGCTTCCTGTCCACCCTTTAAAACCTCCACCTTTACCTACAAATAACAGCAGCAATGTATTGAGTACTCACTATGCGTGGGAGGAAGGGCTACACATAGGGAACAGCACACTGCAGGGAGGAAGGGCCGAGGATGAGCCCCGGCGCCCAACTTTCGGCTCTGGGGTCTGTCTTGTGTGGCCGAGACGCCACAGCTGAGTTGTCTCTGTAGCTACTGTTCACACTGCCCGACTGTGACTTGGCAATCACCTAATGCCCAGCCCCGAGACTTGGGACTGCTTGTTCAAATGCCTGACCCTCTGTGAGCTTCAGCCTTCACATTTGTAATGGCAGAGATCTGGGGGTCTGTTTCCAGAGCGAAAAGATAACACAAAGAGGGGCAGGTGGGTGTGGAAGACACAGCTGGCTGGGGAGACCACCGGCCGCAAGCCTAGCGGGCCGGGGCGGAGGCCTGTCCCTCCCCCACCCCAGAGTGGCTCACAAGGGCGGGACTGCTGCTCCCGGAGCCCACGCTGATCCTGGAAGCTAAGCCTCTCATTGGACAGCTATCTAACTAGGCCAGGTCGGCTGGCGGCAACGACAGGCTGAGATGCCTGTCAGTCGTTACACGGCCCCGCCTACCCCGGGAGGGATTTGCAGGGCAGGCCTGCTGCGCGGCGGCGGGATGCAGCGCCGACCGCCTGGGCCAGGCTGATGCTCCCGACCCCACGCCACCATGTAACCAGCACCTGCAACCCGACACTTGCTTCTCCGCCTGGGACCCCCGCGCCCTGCCTCGGGCCCCGGGCCCCAAGGTGACCTCAGGTGAGTGGGGCACCTGCAACCCGACACTTGCTTCTCCGCCTGGGACCCCCCGCGCCCTGCCTCGGGCCCCGGGCCCCAAGGTGACCTCAGGTGAGTGGGATCGGCTGTCAGGAAGATGAGCCTTCAGGCTGCAGGGCCTCCACGTCGGAGGAGGGTGTCCGTCAAGCCCCGCGTTGGGGCTTCTGGGGTGCTCCAGTTCCCCATGGCCTTGACCTCACCGCAGGGATGACCGGGCTGGCTCTGGGAAGAGGGGTTGGCGCTGGGCTTTGGAGATACCTCCGCAGTCGGGATTCTGGGGACCTGGAGGTGGGGGGCACGGCCTGCGCCTGGAGGTGGGGGGCACGGCCTGCGTTCCCCCCAAGTATAGAGGACCACCCCGGCCTGGATCTCTAACGTGCATCACTCCATCAGCGGCTCTCAGGCCAGGGGGGGAGAACGAGGCTGGTCCTGTCTCCAGGCCTCAGACAATGGGGGTGCACTGCTCGGGTATCCCCTCTAGTTATGTAACCGCCTGTGGTTGTCATGGACACAGTGTGGGGGTGGTTGGCCCAGGCAACTGGATGGAGGCCCAGAGGCTTCCATCCTGCCTTCATCCTCCTGGTCACCACTGGGGGCTGTGCCCCCCCCCCCCCCAGGATGCAAGGTGCCTGGGCAGCATCCCAGGCTCGGCTCTGCTCTGCCAATCAGCTATAGCTCCCTGCTTCCCCTGGGCCTCTGGAGCTGGTCAAAGCTTTCTATGGCTCAGTCTCCAGCTTCCTTCCCTGGGCCTCCTCTTCATTACTCAGGCTTTCAGCCAAAGCCTGAAGTGGGAATGTTCACCCTTTAAATAAACAGAGAAGCCAGACTTGGTGGCACAGGCATACCCAACCCTACTGGGAGTTTGAGGTCAGCCTAGACCGTACCAATTAATGAGAGTGCTTGCAACCCAGGTGTGGTGGCACACACTTGTCACACCAAAACTCCAGAGGTGGAGGTAGAAGCAAGGTCAGCCTGGGCTGCACAGGGATTTTGTGGCCAGCCTGAATTACACAGGGAGCCTGTCTCAAAAAACAAAACAAAGCAATTGAGGCAGATTGCATGCATGCGCCCATGAATGAATGCACTCATGAATGAATGAATCCATGCATGCATGAATGAATGCAGACACGCATGATTGAATGAAGGAATGCATATGTGAATAAGTAAACGAATGAAAGGGGTTATGAGGCCCCGAGGTCAACTCTAGCTGGAAGCACCAGGGCATCCTCTTCTCCAGGAAGCCCCTCTGCTTACTCCAGCACTTTACCTGGTCCTGCTCACCCTGTGCAGGTGCAGAGCCCGCGCCCCTGAGCTGGCTGCTGTCCTTTCTCTCCGGCTCCAGGACACACCATGTTGACCGGGGTGACAGACGGTTTCTTTTGCTGCCTGCTGGGGACACCCCCCAACGTGGTGCGGCCGCTGGAGAGCGTCGAGTCCAGCGACGGCTACACTTTCGTGGAGGTCAAGCCTGGCCGAGTGTTGCGAGTGAAGCATGCGGGCCCCGCGCCCGTCCCTGCGCCGCCGCCACCTCCCGAAGATGATCCCACGGTCAAGGCGGGCCTCGTGCGCTGCCAGCGTCGCATCACGGTGTACCGCAACGGAAGGCTGGTCGTGGAGAACCTGGGCCGTGCGCCACGGGCTGACCTGCAAGGCCGCAGCGGCTCCGGAGACCCGCCCACTGCTCTGGAGGTGGAGCTGGCAGAACCCGCGGGGGGCGACGGCAGGGCCACCCCAAGCAGCGGACGGCGACGACGACCCCGAAGGCCCAAGAGGACCATCCACATCGACTGTGAGAAGCGCGTCACCAGCTGCAAGGGCGCACAGGCTGATGTGGTCCTCTTCTTCATCCACGGCGTGGGTGGCTCCTTGGCCATCTGGAGGGAGCAGCTGGACTTCTTTGTGCGACTCGGATATGAGGTGGTGGCTCCGGACCTGGCGGGACACGGGGCCAGCTCTGCACCACAGGTGGCAGCCGCCTACACCTTCTATGCCCTGGCGGAGGACATGAGGGCCATCTTCAAGCGCTATGCCAAAAAGCGCAACGTACTCATCGGGCACTCCTACGGGTGAGAATGGGGATGAGCTGCCCACAAGGCACCCACTTCCTTCCTGGAAGGTTTCCGAGACAGGGTCTCGTAGCCCAGACTAGCCTCAAGCTCATTATGCTATGCAACTGAAGCTGACTTTGAACCCTGGATTCTCCTACCTTTGTCTGCCAAGGACTGGGTAGCAGGCATGCGATTGGGTTGTGGCATGGCTCAGGGGTAGAGCCCCAGTATAGAATCCCCCAGTGAGGGGATCTCCCAGTGTGGCTTAGAGGTAGAGCTCCTGGCTAGAATTCTCCGGTAACAGTCTGAGGCCTTGGCTGGACTCAGAGGTAGACCCTTGCCCAGAATCCCCCAGTGAGGGGGGCTAGGGAGTTGGCTCAGATCTTTCCCCAGTAACACACACACACACACACACACACACACGCACAGACACACACGCACAGACACACACAACTGTTTTCCTTAAGATTTGCTAGTAAGCCAGGTGTCATTTACTAATATGCCCATCATCCCAGTGCTTGGGAAGCTGAGGAAGGAAGAACACTGAAAATTTAAGTGCAGTGTGGTCTACAAAGTGATTTCCAACCCAGAACTACATCTACAAAGTAAGACTATGTTGAAAAAATATCTGCAAACAGGCTGAACATGTTGCTTACACCTCTCATCCCAGGATTCCAGAGACTGAGGCAGAAGGATTACCCTGAGTTGGAGGTCAGGTTTGGCTGTGAATAATCCTTTGTCTGAAAAAAAAAAAAAAAACAATCAAAAGCCTGTTAAGCCTGTTATCACAGCAGTTGGGAGGTGGAGAGACAGGAGGTTCAGAAGGTCAAGTGAGGGTCATCATCAGTTACTTGGCCTAGAGGCCAGCTTGAGATACAGGAGACTGTCACACATGCACACAAAAACTAGAGCACTTACACAGTTAACTTACTCAGTTAATAGAGCATTTACCTGACATGCGCAGAGTATTTTCATTTTATGTGTATGAGTGTTACGCTTGCATGTAGATGAGTGCACCTGTGTCGTGCAATGCCCACAGAGGACAGAAGAGACTGTCGGATCCCTTAGAACTGGAGTTACGGACAGTTGTTAGCTGCCATGTGGGTGCTGGGATTCGAACCCAGGTCTTCTGCAAGAACAGTCAAGTGTTCTTAACTGCTGAGCCATCTCTCCAACCCCAGAGCCATGGGTTTTCAAAAAAAGGAATTAAAGCCGGGCATGGTGGCACACGCCTTTAATCCCAGCACTCGGGAGACAGAGCCAAATGGATCTCTGTGAGTTCAAGGCCAGCCTGGTCTACATAGTGAGTTCC